AAATGATGCAGAAACATTTGAAGAGTGAAGATGGTCACTCCTCCTCCCGCCTCTACATAGGACAGAACATAGTTTGGGCTAATTACATCGCCATCGTTACACCTAAAAACATGGTGGAGACGTAGCAGAGGAATCATGGCAATGTCACATGGAAAGTCTGTTAAGTTCAGTCCTTATGATACATTTGCATCGTTTAAATGTCTACTTTGTGAAAACATTCTTCACAACCCTCGTATGACTGAGATGTTGACCGCTCAAATCTCCTTCAAACCACCTCTGTCTTTTTTATTGAGAAGAGGAGAGAGCCTGTTCCCCCCCATCAGTTGTTCCTTGTCTGAGCCGAGGTCAGAAGACAGTCTCTGAAAATGTCCTCCGGTGTCACTGGTCCCAGTGAAATGGGCGAGTTGACTACTGCTTCATGGTGTTCTTGATGGTCCACCTCTGCCCGGAGCAGGGCTGCAGCACGAGCAGGTGGCCGAAGTAAACGTTGGCCGGTACCACCTCCAGGCAGCGTCCCGTGGCGCGATTTATCAACGATTCATTCTGCAGAGCGGGGAGGGAGACATCGTTCTGGTTTCATCGCTGTGCACAGATCATCATTTTTTTATATAACTAAAAAAAATCACTATTCTGATGACATTTTAAGGGTCTTTGATACTATTTTGTGGGCCTACTCTACTCAATCAAAGGTAGAATCGCTGGATCATACTACCCAAATACAAAGGAGTCCATTTTCATTTGATTAGTTACACTTCTTGACACCTTGTGCAAACAAGTTATTAAGTTAGTTATTTTACTGAAAAAAAAAGTTTATGGACTCCCTACCTGAGAGAAATGCCAGGTCTTCTGCTTCACGTTGGTCAACTTGTCACAGTTGAGGAGCTGAGGAAAGCTGCTGATCTGATCGTCCACCACACAGCGAGTGTCGTCCCCGGTGCTGCCCAGAGGGCCCAGGAACAGCTGACCCTCTTTGGTGTAACGTCCCAACTGAAGACAAACACACAGACAGCAATCCCGTACTTTGTTTCTGCTGTTAGTTAAGATAGTTAGTAGAAATAGTAAAAATTCAAAGGTGTTATCAGGGAAGTTTTCAAGAAAACGCCGACGGCTCGGACCGTCTGATTTCTTGGCGTGGGGAATTGGATGTGGTGGCGGGAGTGCGTGACTAGCGACCAAAATGCAAGAGACACCTGAGAGTCTTGGTGTTATTGTGCTGCGCTCTCTGCCGGAACTTAAATTCAGCTCTGCTAGATTTTAGTATTCTACTTCTGAAACCGAGGCCTATGCTCCTTGATGCCCACTGGTTACCACCGCAAGCTAGAAAAGAGATGCCCGGCGGGGCAGCAACAGACACTGGCCGACTCAGTGCTTCAACGCAGAAAGTGCAACACAGAAACCTTGTTATCCTGACAGCAGAACTCTCCCCTAAGAGGCTGCACATCACCGTCACTGTTGAAAGCTGCTACAGATTGGGCCGAATTAAAGGAAGTGGTGAAGGTTGCACTCTGTGGCCGTTTGGCTGAGCTTCTGGTGTCCACGTTGTACCTGAGGACCCCATCCGTGGCAAGGGTGCAGGGTGGCCGTGTGGTTCTCCTTCATGCCCTGATCCACACACAGGTGGCTCGCTTTAGAATTACGGATCTGAAATAATAAAATCACACACAATTTCACCAGGCAGGATTCATCGTATGTGCAAACATTAAACAGCATTTAGGAACACGTGGTATTATTTTATACAAACTTAGCCAGCAGTCTTCTGTGTGTAAGTTAGAGGATATGGAAATACAGATAAAACAATCCTATAAATCCTGATCACACGGGCCAGTGTGAAGGGAGACTTCTGGGCGCCCTTCCCTTCCCTCTGTGTTGGCTGACTCACCTCGCCGTAGTACAGCGTGTCGTTGTACCTCCTCATCTCTGGGTAAACATTGTCGAGGTACCACTCAAAGCTCTTACACTGTAGACTCTTCCTCAGCTCGACCCTCTGAGAGATATCCCCGTAATCAATACCGTGGCTCTGCAGAAGGGCAAGGAGTCTTCTTTGTTATACTTTTTCATATAAATAGTTAAACAGTATCATTATAAATGATTAGTTTTAATATTTTATCATCAATTTTGCTTTCGTTTTGTATTGATTACTAGCACAATACAAAGTAAACTCATTCCAAGTCATACCAGTTTGTCATTTTGTGAGAATGTCCTTTATGTTACACCATCAGCACTAAAAAGAGCTCAGTAGTTTGCACTA